CTTTTCCGTTATTTGGCCATGCCACAGGGCTTGTGTGATCTTAGTTTCCCGAGCAGGAATTGAACCTGGGCCCTCGGCAGTGAGAGTGCAGAGTCCTAATCACTGGATCACTAGGGAATTGCCAATACTGTCTTTCCTGCATTGTATACTCTTGCCTCCTTTGTCGTAGATTAATTGACCATAAGTGCATGGGTTTATTTCTGGGCTCTCCATTCTGTTTCACTGATCTATGTATCTGTTTTTATGCCAGTACCATACTGTTTTGATTACTGTAGCTTTGTAGTATAGTCTGAAGTCAGCGAGCGTGATTCGTCTAATTCTGTTCTTTCTGAAGATTGTTTTGGCTATTCAGGGTCTTTCACGTTTCCATACAAATTTTAAAATTATTTGTTCTAGTTCTGTGAAAAATGCCCTCGGTATTTTGACAGGGATTGCAATGAATCTGTAGATTGCTTTTGGTTGTATGTTCATTTTAACAATGTTAATTCTTCCAATCCATATACACGGTATATATTTCCATCTGTTTGTGTGTTCTCCAATTTCTTTCATCAGTGTCTTATAGTTTTCTGAGTACAGTTCTTTAACTTAAGTAGGTTTATTCCCAGGTATTTTAATTTTTGATGGGATTAAATGGAATTGTTCCTTAATTACTCTTTCCGAAAATTCATTGTTAGTGTACAGAAATGCAACAGGTTTCTGTATATTAATTTTGTTTCTGGCAACTTTACTGGAATTCACTGATGAGCTCTAGTAGTTTTCTGGTGGTGTCTTTAGGATTTTCTAATGTATAGTATCGTGTCATCTGCAAACAGTGACAGTTTTACTTCTTCTTTTCCAATTTGGATTCCTTCTATTTCTTTTTCTTCTCTGATTGCCATGCCTAGGACTTCCAAAACTATGTTGAATAAAAGTGGAGAGAGTGTGAATGTGACATATCCCACCATTTATTTAGGTCTTAATTTCTCTCAATAATATTCTATAGTTTTCTGTGTAGTGTTGAGTGGTCCTGTACACTTTTCAATTTCTTACTAGGTATATGATGACTTGTGCTGCAATTATAAACTATATTACTCTTGAAATTTCATTTTATAATTCTTTGTGCCTGGAATGCAGATACAACTGACCTTATATTCAGCAATTTTGCTGAATTTTCTTATATTATAATTTGGCTAAAGTTTCCTTTGGATTTTCCATGTTTGTAATCATGTAATCTGTAAATGCCAGTTTAAGGAATTTCCCGTTTATTCCTACTATGTTAGGAATTTTAAAAAAATCACGAATGGGTATTGACTTATATTAAGAAGTATTAAATATTTTCCTCAATAAAATGGGTATAGAGAGAACGTACCTCAACATAATAAAGGCCATATATGACAAGCTCATAACTAACATCATACTCAAAAGTTAAAAGCTGAAAGCTTTTCCTCTAAGATCAGGGAGAAGAGAAGGATGCCCACCCTTGCCACTTTTATTCAACACAGTGCTGGAAGTCCTAGCCAGAGCAATTAAGCAAGAAAAAGAAATAACAGGCATCCAAACTGGAATGGAAAAAGTAAACCTGTCTCTATCTGCCCATGAAATGATATTATACATAGAAAACCTTAAAGACTTCACCAAAAAACTGTTAGAATAAACAAATTCAGTAAAGTTGCAGGATTCAAACTGTTAAAAAAAATCAGTTGCATTTCTATACACTAATGATGAACTATCAGAAGGAGAAATTAAGAAAACAATCTCATTTATAACTGCAGCATAAAGAATAAAATACCTAGAAATAAATTTAACTAGGGAGGTAAAAGGTGTACACTGAAAACTATAAGAAACTGATGAAAGAAGCTGAAGACACAAATAAATGAAAAGATATTCCATACCAGTGGACTGAAAGAACTAACAGTGTTAATATGTCCACAGCACCAAAAACAATCTATAAATTCAGTGCAATTTCTACCAAATTCTCAATGGCATTTTTCTAGAAATAGGAAATAATAATCTGAAAATTTGTATGGAACCACAAAAGACCCCGAATTGCTAAAACAATCTTGAGAAAGAAGAACAAAGCTGGAGGCATCACACTTTCTGATTTCAGACTATACAGCAGTCCCCTTCTTATCTGTATTTCACTTTCCTCGGTTTCAGTTATCTGAGGTCAACTGTGGTCTGAAAATATTAAATGGAAAATTACAGAAGTAAATAATTCATGTTTTAAATAATACACTGTTCTGAGGAGCATGATGAAAGTTTGCTTGTCCCACCTGGATGTGAATCATCCCTTTGTTCTGTGTATCCATATCATATATGCTACCCACACATGAGTATAGGAAAAAATATAGTATATACAGGGTTGGTATATACTATAACCACGGTAATTTGATAGTATCCGTGGTTTCAGGCACTCAGTGGGGGTCTTGGAATGTATCCCACATGGATAAGGGGGGACCACTGCATTACAAAGCTATAGTAATCAAAACATTATGGTACTGGCATAAAAACAGACACACAGATCAATGGACCAGAAAAGGCAGTGCAGAAATAAAGCCAGGCATGTATGGTCAATTAATTTACGACAAAGGAACTAAGAACATACAATGGGGAAAGATAGTCTCTTCAATAACGATGCTGGGAAAACTGAACAACCATACGCAAAAGAATGAAACTGGACCACTATCTTACACCATGCACGTAAATTAACTCAGAATGGACTAAAAACTTGAATGTAAGACCTGAAATCATAAAACTCCTAGAAGAAAACATTGACAGTGGTCTTGGTGAAGACTGTTTGGATTTGATACCAAAATCAAAGGCAACAAAAGCAAAATTAAACAAATGGAACTACAGCAAATTAAAAACCTGCTGCACAGCAAAGGAAACCATAAACAATATGAAAAAGCAACCTAAAGAGTAGGAGAAAATATTTGAAAATCATGATAAAGGGTTAATATCCAAAATATATAAAGAACTCATACAACTCAGTAGCAAAAAACCCAAACAATCCAAATAAAAAATGGGCAGAGGACATGAACAGACATTTTTCCAAAAATATAAGAATGGCCAAAATGAATATGAAAAGGTGTTCAATATCACTAATCATCAGGAAAATGCAAATCAAAACCACAAGGAGATATCACCTCACATCTGTTAAAATGTCTATTATCAAAAAGAGATAAGTGTTGGTGAGGATATGGAGAAAAGGAAACCCTTGTGACTGGTAGTGGGAATGTAAATTGGTGCAGCCATCATGAAAGACAATATGGGGTTCCTCAAAGAATTTAAAATAGAACCATATGATACAGCAATCCCACTTCTGTGTATATATCTGAAGGAAATAAAATCACTGTCTCTCTCAAAGAGACAGCTGCACCCTCATGTTTTTTGCAGCATTATTTATAATAACCAAGTCATGGAAACAACCTAAGTGTTCATCAACGCATAAAGGGATAAAGAAGATAACACACACACACATACACACACAGGAATATTATTCAGCCATAAGAAATAATGAAATCCTGTCATTTGTGACCATGGACAAACCTTGAGGGCATTATATTAAGTGAAGTCAGGCAGACAAGGACAAATACTGTATAATATCACTTACATGTGGAATCTTAAAAAGCCAAACTGATAGAAACAGTGAATAAAGTGATTACCGGGGCTGGGGGGTGGCAGAAATAGAAAGATGTTGGTTAAAGAGTATAAACTTCCAGTTATAAGATGAATAAGAGAAGGGAGAAGTTTCATAGGGAAGGGGACCTCAGGCAGGGAACATAACACATAACGTGTTCAGAAGGCAAAAGGAGATCAATTTAGTGGCAGTACATCATTTAGGTTGAAAAGAGGTAGAAGCTAAGGTTGAGAAAGTGGGAAGTGGGGTTATGGAGAACTTAGAATGCCAGGCTGAATTTAGACCATGGAGTCACTAGAGGTTTTGTGTTGAGACAGGATGAAACTGCTTGATTCTGATTAATTCTGGGGTAAACTTGCTGTGGAAATGTGGAAGAAAAATAATGCAGAGAAACCAGTTAGGAGTTTTTAGGAGTAGTCTAGATGTACAGTGATGGTGAGGGAAATAGGAAAGGGAAATCTGAGAGTTTGAAGGAAGAATTGCTAAGATTTGAGGACTAAATGGATGTGAGGAGCCATCATGTTCACTTCAGT